AGAGAGAGAGAGAGAGAGAGAGAGAGAGAGAGAGAGAGAGAGAGAGAGAGAGAGAGGAGAGTGCGGTTTCATTTGATAAAAGTTACTGGAGTGATTAATGGTTCTGATATACACCGTCAATTTATTCTATCAAAGCAATCTTATTATATATCGCCGTTTAATTTATAAGATTTTACAAACTGTATTTTGGATGCGACTCGGTATACTCGAGTAAACGATAATTAAATTATATTATTTATAAATATAATATATATACAAAAAGACAACGATGACGGCGACTTCAATCTGTACTATTCTTTTACGAAAGCTATGGAGGTTGTTCTGGGACACCCGTATATATATTAATACACAAAACAGGAATTTTTCGCATAGTTTGTGATGATTTTGTGTCAGCATACAAACCACAAGTTTGCAATGTTTATTTTCTGTATGGCTCGATAGACATACATATAGTAAACATGTCGTTGAGTGTACCAAGAAGAATCAATCAATCAGTCGAAATCATTGTATCTCGATTCGTATTTTCTGTTATTTGAAAACAACTGTACTGGTGTTTCGAGTAATGTAAGATTCCTCGCATAGTGAGCAAACGATTTTCATTCGCTTATAAGATAGGTATACTAAGAGATAGGCTAAGCTAGGTATTTATAAGATAACGCACTCCACATATGTACCGAGATATTTTTCTTATCTTTTATTTATTTAATCTCTATTTTATATATATATATTTTTATAAATATTATCGTGTGTGCATGATGCAAATAACGTGACGACTGTTTTCTGATATCTTCGTCAATTAGAATTCTCAAAAAGTTCTGCTCAAATTAATTGTACTACTAGTATCGTGTTTTCAGTGACGCATCAAGGAGGGGCAATCTATTTATTTATTTATAATATATTTATTTATAAATTGTCATAAATTTACTATTTATCAGACAAAAATTCCGATTCTATACATTTCTTTCACTATCTAAACAATAAATGTTAATTTGGAACAAAGTTGAGATAAACGACTCACCTGACATTAGATATTAAAATATGTTTGTTATTTTTTATATTAGAGAAACACGTGTAAAGATTAAATTGTGTGTATTTGGGAGGAATAAATATAATATTGGTTGGCCAATTTTTTCAACTATTCAATGTAATCCTTGCATATTTTCATTTAATATAAAGACAACAGGGATATATTAGAGTTTAAAATGTTAGATGATTCACTCTGTATATATATAATATTACAAATAAAATTAAGAATAGTTTGCTAACCTCAAGAATACATATAAAAAGTGACAACTCTTGTTGTAAATAGCTCAATTTTTGAATGGTCAATTTTTTCTATTAACACGAATAGTTTGATAATATTTCATTGTATATGGAATGCAAGTTTTAATAAATTCTTACACACACGAAGCTTATTTCATAGTAAAAGTGTTTTTATTTATCTATTTTTATCAAGATAACATTATTGTACGATTGTTGCAATTAATTAAGCAGAAAGTAATATTTAATTTGAGACTGCTATTTACAGTTACGAACACCTATCCTGGATGAATATTTGCACACTCTGATTGAAAGAACGACAGCTGCAAAACAATGGAAAGAGAAACGAAAGAAGAAACTTAACAATTGTCGTCGCAGCGCGGATATAACGTGGTCAAGTTCAACGAATTACATGCGCAGCGTGGCAAATGCATCCGGTTGCGCATTTCGCGGGGGAATGTAATAATCCATGTCGGTGAGAGGGCTGTCTGCGTCGGGAAAAGCGAAGGAAAATATAAACGGAGAGGTGAAAACGCAGGCGGGCGGGGAAGAGCGGTGGAGGAGGAGTGCGTTTAGCGTGAAATCTGACGCGACAGCATGGAAAATCGAGAACTGCACTTCGCAGTTCGAAATCGGATTGGTGTCTGCCACACGAGTAGAGGCAATGCATTCCCAAAAGTAGGCAGTGGTCGCTCTTCTGGCGTAGCTTGTATTTCGATCCATGAAATTCGTTGAATATTATCGTGCGGCGAGAGAGAAAAAGCGAAAGCAGCGAAAGAGAAAAGAGAGAGAGAACGAAAAAAATAGATAGATAAATTTATCATGCGTTCTAAGAAAATTCCTCCTAAGTACAATTAAGTAAAAATAAGGAAAGGAGTAAAATACTTATATAATGGAGATACACCTATAATAGAAAAAAAAATATACATAAATGTTTAAATATGTATATACATGTACTACTGCAAATTATGAACTTTTCACTGTATTTTTAAAATAAAACAGACGATAATTCTAAAATTTGCATATTCAATATGATGTACTTGATATATGTACTTAAACATAAATATGTAGAACACTCCCTCCGATAAAAAAGTCTATTATAAAAATTTAATATTAATTTACGTAAAAATGAACTAACAAAAAAGTCAGAAAAAATTCACATGCACACACACATTATTTGTAAATATATTATTTACAAAATAAATAAATATTATTTACAAAGTAAATAAAAGTTTAAATTTCAGTTTTAACATTTTTCCTTTCCTTACGAATTCTTTAAGCAAATTAGATAAGTCTCTTGCAAGTTGAAAATCATAAAGTTTAACTTTAAAATTATATAAACTTTAAAATTATCTAAATTTCGTAGAGAGTGTGCAGTTATAGAAAGTATTATATACAGAGTGTTCCAGAACAATCTTCGAAGCTTTTGCGGAGGTATAGTACGGATTAAGGTGAACATAAAAGTTTTATATCGTTTTGCGATTTTATTTCCGTACTATACCTCCACGAGAGTTTGAGAGGTTGTTCTGGAACATCCTGTATAGCATAGAGAGAGATAAAGAAATAGACTGTCTGTAAAAGATAGAAAAAAGACTCGAGTTTGCGGGAATATCTATCTATCTTTAAGAGAATTTTCAGTTCTGTGCAGAAATTATAAACTCTTTCGTTACGTGTGTAGTGGAACGCGCGCAATAGGACAGATTGCGTTATGTCGTTCTCGTTCTGTTTGTTTATTAAATATTCGACGCATCCCAACTGTGTATATTTATGTGACACATGTCACTCGCGTTGTCGTATGAAATTTTAAATCGCGTCGCTGTATGAAAATTATTATTTGGAGCGTAGGCGCGTGGACAGTCGTTCGTTTTTTAACACAGGGACAAACGTATGAGTTTTTCACCGCTCTTGTGCGCGAGTTATTAATCCGCCGTCACACTGGTTCGTACGAACTCACATACGAATTCGTTTTAACGTGCCACCCGACTTTGCCCGAAGCAACTGTATGAAATCTCGATAATGCCGAGCATTTCCGAACGTCAAAGCCCAAAGGGGATCAGACGCAGGGAGGAAAGCGGGAGGAGTTATTTCCCTTTGAGACGCGTCTTTACACGGCTAAAGAAACTATTTGTAGCTTTGTGCGAGCTACAATTTGCGGAGAGTTTCTTTAGAAACGCCGGCTATTTTCGCAGCGATTTTCACCTGCCGATTCGAGGATTAACAAGTAGCTTTGAGGCGCGTTAACGCAGAAACAACTCTTGAGGAAGAGTCGATTTTAGCTGCTGGATAGTTACGGTAGGTAAACCGTTAAGCTACCGACGTTAAAGCAATCTCCAATCGAGATAGAGAAGATCCGCCAGACAAATATATTTTCGCTATTTTATTACCTTAACGTATCAGAGATGTTATAGTATCTGGAAGACGTAAGTGCTCGAAAATATTTAATCCCTCTGCACGTTCTCGCAGCGCAAGCACCTGCATTTGTATTCGCAACTCTTTGCGAATTTCTAGGTCACTTGTAACTCACTTGTAGGTCACTTGTACAATAACCTTTCATTGAAAAAGAAGTTGATTCGCATTTCTATGTAAGTAAGCAAATCGAGTTTTCATTTTAATTTAATATATCTTGGTTGAAATGCGAAATTTACTAGGATTCAAAATATGTTTTAAATAAATTTGATTCTTATGATAAACTTATGATATAAATATGCGGATCTATAATTTTATCAAACACTTAATGAAACATTTAATTGAATACAATATTTTACTGTATGTAGAGTTAATTGTATTGTTGAAAATTATTACTGTATAATTTATTTTTGTAAGCTCTTGGGGAGTTAATCCTAGATCATGAATAGACACATTTATCTAACTATCTATCTATTTGTGCGTAAAAATCTTGCGCAAACACAAAGTCGAAAGCGTAAAATCGAAGTGAACTAACGATCAGCCCGTCTGAGAAGACGGGTGCGTGTCCATGATCTCATTTTCACCCCTACGTGTGTGATCCAGCAGACCTGCCGGATTTTCGTTCCGGATTTTCGACTTCGGCGCGGTCGTTGTCGCGCGATCGACTATCACAATTTCTAGATTTTTATTTCAGTCGCGCGCTCAGATAAGCGAGATTAGTGATAATGATGGCCAGATATGACAGCCGTCATATACGATGGTTCCAGTGAACGGGCTGCCCATTCAGTTCCGTTGCGATTTCGCGTCGTCCGAGATGCAGCTCGAAGCAACTTCGATGTCTACTTCGTCGAACGTGTTGCACGCGGCGAGACACTCGTGATCAGAAGGGGTGACAAGCGCGTTAACACGCGATTTCTAGATCGTCGTCGTCGTTGTTGCCGTCGACGAGCGTTAATCTGCCGTGATCTTTGTGCTCTGAAGGAGCCTTCGAGAGCGTCAAACGGATTCTGCAGGAGATGGAGGGCATGGGCATGATTAATGGAGTTCCTGTGCGCCAGGACAGCAGAAAGCTATGGCAGTATCTCGCAACTATTTCCGGTATTTAAACGACCCGCACAGAACTTTTCTTAGAATTTAATTCGGACCCGATTCCTTAGAATAATTATGGATTCCGGTTACAGACAATGTTTCAATGCGATTCTAAATAGAAAATGCAAACAACGTTCTATCGAACGTTTTCCTGAACTTTGGGAAACTTTTTCTGATTTCTATTTTATATTTACGTCAAACATAATATTTGAAACACTTTGACTATTTTTGCAAATTTTATAAGTATAAATACTTAAGCTGTTAATGAATACTTGCAAGTATTTTGCTCAATCTCTTTTTGAATCAAGTTATATGTGTGTCTTAAATAAGACTATATTTACAGAAAAAAAAGATTTTACTGTCGCATCTAATAAAAATGAGATTTTCTGAAAATATTTTGGTGTAACTAAAAATTTGTCGCTGTAACTAAAATTTTTGCTACTACAATTTTTTCTTGGTATAATTTGGGACGCAGCTGATGGTCTAATGAAAGAACTTGTTTTTGGTTAATTACCAGAAGTTAAGGTTCCCCATTAGACCACTGGTTTTATTTTAAACTGCATCAAATAAAAAGTGCTCGTTAATTAGAATTGTTTAAAAAAGAAACTCAAGAACTAAAATTGGACTTAATAGAACCTGATGTTATTGCGAGGGTTAATAGTTTAGTACAACAGCGGTGAATAAAATAAAGCGGGCTTACATGGGGCTAAATTACACCGACATGTCGGATACGCTTCGTGTACTAATGGATTTCTTGAGCTCGAAGTATAATCGTGGTAGTTCACCAGTTCAACAGAGTACAGTACATTACGCCGGAGGACTATTAAGTTTCTCGAAATTTCCTGCGAAATTGCACATACTGCGGTCAGTTTCGTGGTCAAGCGCTCCATTGTAAAATCCCGACCGAGTAAGTCCATATCTCGTTTACGAGCCGAAACTCGGCGACGGCCGTGATATTTTATTGAAACGAGCGTCGCGTCCCGAAGGATACGGAGGAGACGTCCGCCTCGTAACGCGAGATTACGTAATTTATTACGTGCACTTTCGGCATGGACCCTCGAATCTTAAAGGACAGTGGATTTGCTGTTTTGTATGACTACAATCCGCAAATCGACCCGAGTCGTTCCTCGGCCACGTTTACAATGCGCTACTGTCTACACAGTGATGATTTTCATGCTTCATTTTCATTCGTCGTTAAAGTTCTGATGCTTGATCAAATAATTCGGCTGAACTGCTGTGTAACGTTGGAATATGCTTCTAGTGTACGACACGCGAGAAGAGAGAGATTGCAGAAGTAATAGTCTATTTAAAATTGAAATCAAACGATACAATAGTGAAGAATGATAAGAGCCAATTGCTTGTCTAATTCTGCATTTATTTCAATATATTGTATACGTAGGTATAAACTATTATACACATAGATTGGTTGACGATAGAGTGGGAAAACACTCGTGTACATGTACATTGATTAGATCCAAGTGAATAAAACATTCCTTTACCATTTTGCAAACTAACGTAAAATTTTTAGTTATTGATTGAAGAAAATTAGTAAATGATCGCGGAACTTTCCGCCGATATGTCTATGACGAAATAGTCGCGCTAGATGATTCTTCGTTGTACCGATTATCAATAGCGATTGAATGCTGCCGATAGGCGATAAATTGTGATACATTAGGCGAGTAAAATACTGAGTGAGTACAATAATGAATAAGGTAATAACCGATAAATATCTATTGATGCAGAAGTTTAAATGACAATCGAAGAGCACCAATTTCAAAAGAGATTAGATAAATTAGATAAATGTTACGTGAAGTTTCTTTAAGAGTCTAATTAACTCTAACAGCAAAATTAATATAACAGAATAAATGTAGAATCGAATTTTAATAAAATGTGAAAAATTGAAATTTTCGATAAAAATAATTAGTTTAGATAATCATATATATATAGTATTAAAAAAATATATATATTTATATATATATTTATATATATATTTATATATATATTTAAAATATATAAATTTATTAAAATTTATGTATATATATATATATATATATATATATATATATATATATTTCTATCAATCTCCTTACCGGATCTTTGAAGCAAGGTTATTAAATATAAGTTACAAATAAGGTAATAATAAAGATCTTTTGTAGGTCCTGCAAAAAGTAAGCATTATTGTAGAGTAGGCATTATTAAATTTTTGATTGCAAGTTCTAGAAAAGAGTTATTATAAAGAAAGCACAATATTCAAAGAAGTAGTAATCGTTCCAGACATCTTATCATTATCAATGCCGTCATTGTCATTATCATGTTGTCATCACTGTTACATTTATTCTTTGAAGCATACATTTTTCCTTACATACGAATTTCTTGAAACAGGGTTTTTTGAGGTTACTGATTACGAATATGGAGTCAAATTTTGAAAATTTTTTAAATTCAAAATGGCGAACTCAAAATGGCGGACCGAAAACATAAAAAGTGACTTGATTTGCACGACATTAGGTATTCGGGTTTTTTCAATCAATCGTTTCATCAATGAACAATGCGTTCAAATCAATGCGATCAAAAATAAAAAAATAAAAAATATAAAAGTAATAAAAAACAAAAAAATGGAACTAGAAACTCGCTACTCCTCGTCATTAGTTCTGGATAATACTAAAAGCGAGATTTCTTACAGATTTTTTATTTGCCACCATGTTTGACTGCAATTTTGAATTTTGTAATTGTCAACATATTCGTAATCAGCTACTCAAAAAACTTTCTAACATAAAGTTATACACAAATCTAGTCACTTTTTGACTTCCAATTCGAATTCTGCGATCTCAAAAACTCTTGACTCTATTACCTAACAAATAAAATATTGTTACCTAACAAATAACATAATTTTAATGGTTGTTATATAGTAATTCATGTACTATATATATCCTATAGTGTATATATACACACACACACACACACACACTATAGGAACTTAAATATGTGATTAAAGTTATATTGGCTTATTGAAAAATATGTAAAAATCATAAAAATCGAGTAGAGAAAGGTGCTGGTATATGGGTATAGCACTATGCTGCAAAGGGTTAACATTACTATAATTTTTTATTAATTACCGCCGCAATAGCGAGCGTAATGAAGTTTCTCATAGGGTGAGTCTTCCTTCTAATTAACTGCGCCCTTTAATTAACTTCTCGTTTAAATCTTCTTAGTCTGCATAATGGCCGTCGGCATTGGCACCGCTATGGCTTGGACGTCCCCCGTACTACCCAAGTTATATCAAGCAGACTCTTGGTTAATCATCACCCCGGAGCAAGGGTCCTGGGTGGGCTCGTTACTGGCATTAGGTGCGATCGCGGGCGCCCTTCCATCCGGACCGATGGCAGACAAACTAGGTCGAAAGAAATCGCTTCTCCTGCTGTCGGCTCCATTTCTTCTGTCCTGGGCGATCATCATACTCGCTTCCCGGCTGTGGCTGATTATGGCGGCCAGATTTTTGATAGGCATTGGAGTCGGGGCAGCCTGCGTTCTCATGCCGATATACGTGTCTGAGATCGCGGAGACGTCGGCACGTGGCACTCTCTGCGCTTTGTTCCAAGTGTTTCTCACTGTTGGTATCCTGCTAGCTTTCATATTGGGATCCGTGATGAACTACACAGAATTCGCTATAGTTTGCGCCCTCGTAGAGCTCATCTTCTTAGCTTCCTTTGTGTGGATGCCGGAGTCGCCTGTTTGGCTGGTGGTACGTTCAGTCAATAAATTTTAATAAAGTACAGGATTTTACAACATTATTTTTAGCAGATTCTTTGAACAATTTGAAGACGACTTTGTTCTTATATCGTTGTATTATTACTAAGGAAAATTGATCTTAATCTTTTTTACTTATAAATGAATGTCTTTAAATTTTACAGAATGTAAAGCGGGAGTCAGAAGCTAAATCGGCATTGGCGATTCTCCGAGGTAACATCTACGATCCATCTGAAGAGCTCGCGGAAATGCGGCGAGCAATGGAAGCAATGACATCGAAAAATTCGAGCGTATTTGATCTCATACGTTCTCCTGCGACCAGAAGAGCCATGCTTGCCACATTAGGTTGCATGTTCTTTCAACAGATGTCCGGTATAAACGCAGTAATCTTCTACACCACCACCATTTTCGAAGAATCTGGAAGTTCGATACCGGCGGACGTCGCTTCTATAATTGTCGCGTTAGTCCAGGTGTGTTTATCGACGAAAACGATGACGGTGTGCCACTTTAAGAAGGAAATTATACAAATTATTACAAAACTTTTCCCTAAAATACAATTTTCAGTATTCAAACGAATATTCCTTTGAGCAAAAGTTAAACTTTATATCTTTCGCCTTGCTTCAAGAATTGGTATAAATTTATTAACATATTATTTTTATAGAATTTTTATATAGAATCTTTTTTTCTAGATTATATAAAATCTTTCAAATTCTCTTTATTTATTGCCTTCTCAGAAATTTTCAATTTGTTGCTCTCGGATTTTATGCTCGCAGTATAACCATGTGATATTCTTCGTTCACATTCTATATATTCGCGTGTCTGTGTTCATCTCATGTGATTATTAACGACAGCGTTAGACAATGATATTTATTCGAAGTATCACTGTTGACAGACGGTGATGTCAGCCGTAGCAGCTGTGATTGTGGATCGCGCAGGCCGGAAGCCGCTGCTAATCCTCTCCTCAGGAGTTATGTCAGTCAGTCTCGTGGCTCTCGGTCTGTACTTCAAGATTAAGGATGACGGCGGCGACATCAGTACACTCGGCTGGCTGCCGCTCACATCTCTGACATTATACATGATCGTCTTCTCCGTTGGGTAGGCTTTTTAACAGAATATAACTTTTAACTTAATATAATAAAAAAATAATGATAATATTAATAATAATGACAATAATAATAATGATATTTCAATTTTTTAATATCATGTTTCGCACAAGGAAAAAATCTCAGTATGTATAACTGTATATTAAAAGCATATCACATTTAATAGAGAAAACTTAGTTAAATAAAGGATAATTTCTTTCTTACCGCGGCCAAAAACAATCTTAACATTCAATTGTTTTAAGAAGTTTACTCATTTAAAGCAAAAAATGCTTAAAATTATGCAAAAATTTAACGTAACATTTATTGCAGTAAAACATTTTTATATTTAAATATTTATATTTAAATTAAATTTTATCTGGTTTGTCTGTCTCAAGGAAAGTTTCTGATTATTTTGTAGATCTGCTTGATTAAATTCGAGTATTATTTTATGGATATATCTTTTTATTTTGACTATATATATTTTACAAGATTTTCGTGCTCGTGTTTTCTCACTTTTAACGTCATCAATTAAGAGGTGAGGGATCAGAAACCTCAAAATTTGATTTAAATAACTGAAAACAATTGACTGAATAGAATTGCCTACAGCAATTCTTCTGTCCTTAGGAAAATTTAGTTACACTAACTAGATCTTCTGGTGTATATAGGATGGGCCCGATACCTTGGATGCTGATGGGCGAACTGTTCACCGCAGAGACTAAAGCGATCGCTTCCGGTCTCGCCGTGATGCTGAATTGGTTTCTGGTATTCCTGGTGACGAAGACCTACCCGGCATTGAACCAAGAACTAGGCGCGGACGCGACTTTCTGGATGTTCGCCGTGATCATGGCGATCGCGGTCGCGTTCACTTACTTCTTCATACCGGAGACGAAGGGGAAGTCCTTTCAAGAGATTCAGGACTTGCTGCAAAACGGCACTCGATTGAAGACGACTGTGTGAAAGGAGCTCGCAGAGAGCTTTTCGCACTGACATGTGCGCCGTGACTGCTACCGTTTCAGCTGGTGTGGCGACAACATTGATCGCGGTGTAGTTAATGCAAGACATTGTTTGCGAAGTAGCCACAAGCGTAAAATGCGAGTCTTACGGTAATGAGGCGATATATTCGCGTGGACGACGAAACTTCTGAATTTAAAAGCTGCGCGTCCAGGAAAAAAGTGTCCGAGTTGCCGGGGAGAACACTAAATCTCGCTAAACGAATAATTTATCGCCTCTTTTAGTGGCTAGTCGGTAGACCATTCTATTTAAAGTTTAACGGCATTCCCGCCTCGGCGGAATTTTTTTTCATGCGCTTCCACAAGCCGCTCCACGTAGGCGCTACGTTGACATTCCTGTTACCACGTATTTGTTCGTTAATTATTATTTAAATTTACTCACTACCACCTCTCACTTATGTTTGCGATTGTACAATCAGTCGACCGTCGCGACCAGGTTTTCCTCTTACGATCTTAAATTATTATTCGTATATTTCTAGTTTTATGCCACTTGACGATCAGCACCGAATGCGTGAATATATTTGAACGTTTTCGATCTAGTTCGAATTACTCGTGATTAGTTTAGGTAATATTTTGTACTCGTAGCGGTAAACGAGGATTTAACGTGATGATAATGGATGATGGATAGACTAATGTGTAAATAGTACGAAATAGTAAATAGTAAATAGTAAATAGTGTACGAAACAAATAAATTATGCCTACAGTATTCTTTTGTAATTTATCATGAATATATCAGAAGTATAGAGTCGTGAAGAGCCATTTATGTCATTAGGAGACTTCAAAATGTCGATCATGCTGTAAGTAATCGCTCATATGGCGATCGATAAATTATTGAAATCTTTAGAATTTTACAAAACAAAAAATTAGTCATAAGACGACAAAACTTTATTAATTCAGGTAACGAGTGCATTTCGATTTTAAATTTACATGTTTGTTGGTTTTTAACTAATTTAGAATTATAATCTCTCTCTCTCTCTCTCTCTACATAATTATTTACGAGACTTACAAGATTAAAAAAGATTGGCGAATGGCTGTTCGCGATAATATAATAATGTTCTAATTAATAACTAAAAATCTACAAAGATATTAGAAAAAAAGTCGCCTCTACAGCTCATCTACCATATCTCGCGTGATCATTCACAAATTTTCTTTAATATTTCGATAAAATTATTGCGAATATCGCAAAACGATATAAGACTTTTATGTCTGCTTTAATCCGTATTACGCCTCCACAAGAGTTTCGAAGATTGTTCTCGGATACCCTGTATAATCGACAGAAGTATAATATTTGATAAATATTTGATCATAGATTACTTAGATAACAAATAAATTTTATAATCTTTTATCATTGTATGAGTTCATCTTTCGCGCATTATAAAATTTATTTGTTATCTAAGTAATCTATGATCAAATATTTATCGTACTCCTGTCGATTATACAAGGTGTCCGAGAACAATCTTCGAAACTCTTGTGGAGGCGTAATACGAATTAAAGCAGACATAAAAGTCTTATATCGTTTTGCGATATACGCAATAATTTTATCGAAATATTAAAAAACATTTGTGAATGATCACGCGAGATATGGTAGACGAGCTGTAGTGGCGACTTTTTTTCTAATATCTTTGTAGATTTTTAGTTATTAATTAGATAACATTATTATATTATCGCGAACAGCCAGAATTCATCAATCTTTTTTAATCTCATAAGAATAGGCAAGAGCCTATAATAAACATTCCCCGATACGATTAACGTAATACGGCATGTATTAACTGCATTCTTTCCACAATAAACTGTGCCATTATCTCGCTGTTCTAGAACACGGCAAACACATTGAGCGCTATCGAGAGAATGGAACTTTTAATGTAACTGGCTGCAACTCTATGTACGTTTTACGTCAGCTATTTTTTTTCTTCCTCGCGTGATTGTCGTCTCTTTGAAACGTATGCCACGATAAGACGGATCGCGATCGCAGCTGCCGATGAGCCACTTAGATTAAAATTGCAAACAGTTCGTCACGGATCTTAATGTTTGGACGCTTCGTGCTTAATATTTGTCGCGTCCTGAACTGAAATTTATTCGCATAAATCGCGCGTTGTCGCTCGCGACTTCCAAGCTCGAGGAATAATTAAACTCGCAGTACCGTTGATGGATTATGATGGTATTTATGACTGTAGAAGTCGCGATTTTAAGGAGACATTTTCCGCGTTGTTAGTCTTATTTTCCGCGTCTTCTGCTTGCCAGCCCTGCGAGACGTGCAATTAGAAATGCTCGTTTAGATTATCGTCTTGAGCGAATACTTCCAGTAGCCGCTTTGCGTCGTCACTAATTGTTTGACGAATTCCAACGAAAGGTTGTTATTTTTTATATGCACACACTGAGAAAAAGATTTGATAATCTCTAGTCAAAAAATTAGATATAAGGATTGAGAGATAGAAATATATACAAATTTTACTTTATTAATTCAGGTAACGAGTGCATTTCGATTTTAAATTTATATGTTTGTTGGTTTTTAACTAAATTTAGAATTATTATCTCTCTCTTTCTCTCTCTACATAATTATTTACGAGACTTACGAGATTAAAAAAGATTGGCGAATGGCTGTTCGCGATAATATATTAATGTTATCTAATTAATAACTAAAAATCTACAAAGATATTGGAAAAAAAGTCGCCACTACAACTCATATCTCGCGTGATTAATAATAGCAGGATATTTTACTAGAAATATATACAAATTTTACTGTCATATCAATTTCAAAATCATTTTTCAACAAATACAATAATGTAACTATTACATTGTTATAATATAATGAAATGTAAACGTAACAAAATTCGACGCAATATAACATGCATATTACATGTAACATACACGTTGGTTCCTACTCAAATAAAATTTGTGTAATTTCCTACTCAAATAAAATTATAATTTTGTAACAGAAATTTTGTGTTATAACAGGTTTTATATTGTATCGTGATCAATGTCTTTATATCATATTAACCAAATGTATTTGTTATCTATTAAAAGACATTTTTTAGTGTATAGTAATTTATCGTGACACTTCATTGACAACACACACAAGTTACGAACTTCTGAAGCGCCAGTTCTAATTTCGATAAAATAGTGATTGTTGAATCGGCCGTTGTAGTATGATTCAGTCTTTCATTGTTTCAAGGTTATCGCGTAGAAAGTGTGAAGTTTATCGCGACTTTTCCGGAACTCGACGGATGAGACGAGGTTAACGAGATTAGGAGGGAATGCAAGATATTTCTGATATATGTGTGTATATACATTCTTATTTGGAAATCTCAAATCTCGAAATATGCCCAATTACATGCTTGATATTCTTCAACGATTAAAAAATCTTCGAAAAATCGATGTTGTGCATTCTAAAATACCATCAGTGTACTCTCATTGAAATGCTATACTTATGACTAGTGGTTATAAATATAGCAGTTATAAATATAGCACCACAATCAGTAAAGTCTCACTGAAAGAATCAGTTAATAATAGCGACTGTCGTTATTATTGATGCAGTTTGCAAACACAGATGTAAAATTATCTGTCATCGTAAGGCATTAATTCCATCTCCTCAAACGCAAAGAACTGAACTTGATACAGCGCGTAACATAAATTTGTGTACTACAGATTTTACAGTATAATATGTGATTTTTACTGGCTAAAATCGGTGAGATCTGAGACAAAGGAACAAAATGGGGGTATTTCTAATGAAAATCGGCAAATATTCGCTGATTATCAGGGAAATATATCTTTCACTGGTTCAATTACAAACATTTTCACTGATTCATTTTAAGGGAATATATCAAGAGAATATGGAATACCAAGAGAATTTAGAACTCTTATAATTGCCTATATATAATGATAGAACAACGCTGTTTTAAAAGTTCTCTTCAGTAGATAAGTTCTCTCAGTTCTTGGTTGAACTAAGAATTTAAAATTAAAAATTAAAATGAATACACTGACTAAGCTTTAAAGGCGTCACCACGCGACACGGCATTTTTCGCAATAAATTCGTGGTGAATACCATCTTAATAATAATTTAATGGTATATTCGATTTCAAAATCCCTAGTGGCGATGTATATGTGTGTTAGATGGTTTAGATATGATGGCTCTTTTTATAAATTTTTTATCACAGTATCGTTGAAACCGGACTAGAGGAATAATTAATAAAAGAATACGACGTATAGCGATGAGATAGCCCTCGGCACATTCTTATTTACAACGCAGGTGGATTGAAAATATGTTTCTGTCGCACATTATATGTCACGAACGATACTGTGACGTAACCTGTGCTTTTATTTATATAAAATATTTTCATAGCGAAATGAGTACTCGTTTAAACGGCATCAAGCTTAAAAAAAAGAACTATTTTAAAAATGTATTGATATTTCTTTCTTTTTAAAAATACAAGAAAAATAAAGTCAGAACGATAAGATGATTTTTTTTCCACGGAATGAGGTATATCGAGATTTTTTCTCGAAGCTTACGTTATCGAAAGTACTTAAAAAAGTTGTAAAGGAAAATCATGCTTTCATCGTCGGACGATAAGAACGTCGTTCGCAGAAACTATCGATGGTATTCCGTTGACGTAGAGTTATTTATCTTCTCCCTTAAAAAAAAATCAAACAAAATTTTCCATGGATTATATATTAGATTAGCTTAGTGCTAATATACGTAGATAATAACAAGAAGAAGAAAGAAATGAAAATTTATAGTGGGAACCACACGGTGGTTATATTAAATAAGAAATTTTAGCCAAAATTCTGAGTCGATAAAAATTATTTTACTAGACAAAAGTTAACATAGTTGTTCAGTTACTATTCGAAAACTGTATTAGATATCTACCAGGGTATTCTTGAATAAGAAAAATTTTATATCGTTGAGTCCAAAGTTTTTACTTTTTGCTTCTTTCCAAACTGCATATACAACTGTAAACACAACTAATTCAATTAATAATAATTTTTGTTTTGCAAAGTTTTTAACATTGCATTTATCACTGAACAATAAGAAAATGATAAATAAATAACAATTTATAGTTATTTGACAACAGGATATCCTAAAATTACATTTTTATTAACTTGAGATAAAACTTAAAAGAATTTGACTAACAAATGTTCATGTCTACTAGACTACTGTGAAACAAGAACTGAAAAAATAGAAAATTTCAAGTGCAGCAAGTACGACTCATGCAGCACAATGACATTCTTTTATTTATCGGAATGCATGCAATTAATTGCCGCGTTCGTTTCAAGCCTCCACGCGCGTCTGGCGAGTGTAGTTTATCGCGGCATAATTAAACGGAGATATTGTATGTCAATTAATATTAGTGGAACGAGTTTTGCTGGTATCGCGCGGAGAAGATAGGTGAAAACTTTTCCATACTTCACTGCGCCAAGTAATGCGGAATTTCCGGTGTTACGAACGTAACACTTATTCTTTTTTGCAACACGCTTCTTTTTCGATTAAAACTGATATTTGCATTCGGTAACGTTGCTCCCTGATATGCACTCGCAAACTTCCAACGCTTAAAATAACATTCAAATATGAAATTCATGTGGGTCGCCGCATTATAGAAAAAAAGATGATCGTCAGAGACGATAATTGTTTCAATAAAAATCGTGTCATGCTACGACAGAGAGAAAAAGAGAAGGAAACGTTATGGAAAAATATAGAGACCGACCTTCAGTATTGAATAATATCCTAGAAGATAATTTTTTCTTCGTTGAAGCAGGATCCGTTTATGATTATACAAAGTTTTTCAATATTTTCCAATCGTCCTTGAACAAAAGTGTGTCTTTTCCCGCGGCGAGAAACAGTCAATGCGTTTATCGATATATTCGCATTCTTTAAAGTAAAATCAATACATTGTTCACTGAAATATTATACTGATAACTGAACCACTAGTTTCCAGTGGAATCTTACTTTCATTATAAAGATATTTTTCTTTCATTATGGAGATATAAGGAATACTGGGTCTAGATAACCCCAGAAGTACGTTGCTTATGTGCTTTCTTAATATTTATCTTGAGAGGAACAGTGGACACATAATCGAGAAATGAAGACATCTAGTCCCAGACTCCTCTAAGATGGAACAGTAGAGTAGGGGTGTTTCTATTGAAAGTCAATGAATACTCACTGATCATCGCTGAAATATCCGTTTTACCGATTCAATCAGAGACATTTTTATTGACTTACTTTAAGAAGCATAAATCCGCGAAGGGTTCGTTCTCAATATCCTTTAAAGCCGCAGACTGAGACCAGTAACGACAAATCACTCGTCGTGATTTATCACCTGCAATTTTACCGGAATGCGTATCTCTTAATGACGCATTCGAGCGTCGCGAATGATCAGACGTAAGTCGTGCGACTCCGAGATTAACGCACTTGGTCACGTTTGCACGCGGCACTATCATACTACGTTTTCCATTAATACCAGTGTTAGCGTGATTTTTATTCTCTTCTTTTTTTTTCTTTCTGCCTTCTCATATACGTCACACATTTTCTCAAGTATTAGCTCACCCGAGCGAGCTTGCTGTCTCCCGAAGATCGTGTGAGGCGCGTCGTTTAAAGGTCAACGCATGTTTACTCAGATTCTTGTTATTAGTGCGAATCTATCTCCGTTAACGAATTCCAAACTTAGGTTGAATCGTCATTTCGGACGATAAATGACAACGATATGATATCTGCTTCGTAAAAAGAACTGGTTTCCTAATTTACTTCTTCACTTCTGCTTATTTGCAATTTAAGCTTCTTCTTTTTCTCTTCCTCTCGACAGGCTTTCTTCGACGCGTTACATAACGCAACGTATATGACAAGCATGTTGCTCTGTCCGCATCAATTTTCAGTGGATATGCATAACTCCGAAAGAAAACACCGAGATTCAACAAGTGCGTTAATTTATCTATCTTTTGTCTACATTTACTTCATAGTGCATTAATTTATCTATCTTTTGTCTATACTCACATCAAGATTCTTGTTATTAGTGCAAATCTATCTCCGTTAACGAATTCCAAACTTAGGTAGAATCGTCATTTCGGACGATAAATGACAACGATATGATATCTGCTTCGTAAGAAGAACTGGTTTCCTAATACTTGTTCTCTTCCGCTCATTTGCAATTTAATCTTCTTCTCTTTCTCTTTCGACAGAATTTTACCGACGCGTTTTTTACATAACGCAAAGTACATGATTAGGATGTTACTTCGTCGGCATCAATTTTCGGTGGACATACATAACTCCGAGAGAAAACAACGAGATTCACAAGAAGTGGGGTAATTTATCTATCTCTTGTCTACTTACTTCACATCAAGATTCTTTGCGATCGGGATTCTCGTTCTCCTTTCTTCGCAGAGCGCTTCGTCTACAAAATGTCATTGGGATGGTTGATAAATTAAGTTTGATAAGCTTTGTGTACTTTCCATCGCGTGCATACGATACTTCGCAATGTCGAAGAACATGCCTCGTATATTGGCGATTTTCTTGCGGTCATGTTTGTTCAATTACCGATAATAATGTTGACAGAAACTTGACGCTTCCAATCATGCTTAATAACTCGGAGACAATTCGTGAACTCTTGATTGCGTTTGTTCGCGAATTGCTATAATTGTTACCTGCCCCATAATTTGTTCTTAATCAGTGTCACGCAAACTCGTGGACGCACCTGTTTGCCAACTGCACGTTGTATGAACGCGTAATAAACAAAAATACAAAAATACCGTTTAGTCATTAATTAGTACTCGAATTGCATAATGGCTTGTCGCGGAATGCGATTATGAATCATTTGTTCTCGGGGTGATTAATTTGCTTATTCACCCGCTCTTGTTAAAACGTTGAGGATAGTCTCGTGACGAATAATAAATTGCTTCCTTGTTTTGCTTTGCTCGGCTTTGAGCGCTCTTGGTACATTGATTACGTTCTAATCGTATTTTAAGCGTCGCTCGCCTCGCACACGGACCAGCGTTATTAAGGGTCGATTAAAAGGAAACTCGGTCATTGTGCATTGTGCATTGTGCGTTCACGGTACACTTTGTATATTATTGCCTAGCTAAATACGCAAGTCCAATCTATCTTCGCCTTTTAATTCATTTATAGAGCTTCTCTGAAATTTGCGGAAGAAGTACTTGTTTTCCTCTCTGTTGTTTCTAATAAACAACACGAGTGTCTGGCAAGTACCTTAAGAACGTTTAAAAGATGCTTAAGAAAGTAGAACGTCTAAAATGAATCTGTTGCTTCCCTTTTTCATTTAACATTATTTTTTTCCATGTAGATATACATTATTTTATATACAGGCACAAAGTTCATATATAAATTTATATACAATCATATATAATTTTATATAATTACATATAATCATTTTGAATAGTTCAAAAAAGAAAATTGTTTTATTTATTTTTCTAATTTCATTAACAAACTTTGATCATTCTGCTTAAATAATCTTAAAAAATTTAATATTTATTTTTTCCCCAAAGACATCTGCCTTTTTGTTACTTCATCGTATACGTTCTCCTTCCCTGTAATTTTCCATCCAAATCTGTTATCTTACCATATAATCACTCATTCTTTTTACTGACTTGAGTTACTCGACTTTAACATTTGTATAGAAGATTAGTGATGTCAACTGACGATGTATTTATAGCATTACATTTATAATGCATTGCTTTACAGAGTATACGATTCGCAGCGTCTGTTATTTGCGGGAATCTGTGCTTGTCAGTGAAATAATAATTTATAAACGATTCGCGCGTAATCTTTATTGAAGCGGCGCTAAAGATACTGATCCGTTTATCGCTATCAGATGCTACTGGAGGTGACAAAGATTACGGCGTACGCGATCGGCGAGACGATCACTGGTGGCTACGCACATCTAATACCGATAATATATCTCACACTGGTTTGTTACGTAAGAAAATAAACGAGAGCTTATAATGCAGGTGTTCCTCGTAGAAAAGAGCACTTTGAGCGAAGAGCGCGTATATGAAACCGGTAAGTGTGCACCTTTTTCCAAATCGTGCCGCGAACGCTCCGCGATCGTTCCGAATTGCGCGCAAGCGAAATCCGCCCTTATCAAGTGACAATAGTACGCAATTAGATCATCGATACGCGACTTCTTTTCTTTCGTGCGCGAGTGATTGTGGATCTTTCGTTGAGCTTCGACACAATAATCCCCGACGGTCGGAAAAATGGGATCCTCGTCGATGAGGAGCGAACGCGGGAGTGATAATAACTATTCCATTGTGTGAAACAATTTGTTCGATCGTTCTGCGAAGGGTGCGACGTATTTCGACCAGTGCTGCGAGTTCGGGTAACTTTTGGTGCGTTCGCTTTGGGCACTTTGTGCTGTAAGCGTCATTCTATTCTATCTTTTTCCCGCATAATGAGCAATAAAGATAGAATGACGCTTAAGCGTGTAAGCGCCCAAAAGGCGAACGCACCAAAAGTTACCCGAACTCGCAGCACTGGTTTCGATCCCAAGAGTGGTAATTGGTAACGCGACCGAGTGAGAGATACGCCGAACTTACGCGTCCTCTCGATTGTTCTCAAATTCAGCGGGTGTGTTGGACAGACTCGGAGTTAGGTCTCATTGATCGTCATATGTTTCCAATTAATTCACGTTAATTCGCTCCCGTTAATTCACGTTATGAACGTCTGGATGCAATTCGATTTCGAATCAAGTAACTTATTGAAAGGTTACTCGTTAATTTCCTTGGGCTTGATTACTTTTCTTCCTCCTTTTTTTATAATTTGAGGCATAATTTGAGGTTTTTTTTATAATTTGAGGTATATTTGAAAATAGACAAGCGTTGATGTATAAAAATTATAAATGAAAAAAAGAAAAAATTGCAAGATCCTTTCGGAAAACATATCTGTTTTCGCGTTTGATTAATTCACGATGTGAGTTGCGTGGTCGGGATCGATATGTAGATATTTTGCAGGTTGTATTGGCAATATGAAAGCAATATGAAAAATTTTTATTTTCATTTTGGCCCGATGCAAAGATAACATTCATATCGCGCGTTGTTTATTCCTCCCAGTTATATATATTCGTTTAGACGTTTTCGAACGTTTCGTCATCCCTCATATTCTGTTTTCGCGGTTTTCGTATGAACAAGTGCGCGACGCAGTTGCATTTAAAGATGAGAAAACGTTTCCGTTTCTAACATTAACAGAATTGAATATGATTGTTTTATTTATTTACCATTAGGAATAGAACGTTTATTATCATTTTGACTCGTTTCATTCTGCGCGTTCTCCACATGTCGATTGCTCTTGGGGATAGTTTGTTAATGAAATTAGAAAAATAAACAATTTTCTTTTTTGAACTATTTAAAATGATTATATATAATTATATAAAATTACATATGATTGTATATAAATTTATATATGAATTTTGTGCCTGTATATAAAATAATATATATCTGCGCGTTCTCCACATGTCGATTGCTCTTGGGGATAGTTTGTTAATGAAATTAGAAAAATAAACAATTTTCTTTTTTGAACTATTTAAAATGATTATATATAATTATATAAAATTACATATGATTGTATATAAATTTATATATGAATTTTGTGCCTGTATATAAAATAATATATATCTGCGCGTTCTCCACATGTCGATTGCTCTTGGGGATAGTTTGTTAATGAAATTAGAAAAATAAACAATTTTTTTTTTGAACTTTTCATAATGATTATATATAATTATATAAAATTATATATGATTGTATATAAATTTATATATAAATTTTGTGCCTGTATATAAAATAATGTATATCTACATGGAAAAAAATAATGTTAAATGAAAAAGGGAAGCAACAGATTCATTTTAGACGTCCTACTTTCTTAAGCTCTTAAGGTACTTGCCAGACACTCGTGTTGTTGGAAATTATATTACAGGTACTTCATTAATCGAGTAAAACTTAGTTATTGATTTGCCGATTATTTTAGACTCGTATTAATAGTCGTTGTTTGGAACTTGTCTCAAGTGAGATAGATAGATTTGAATGCAAAGTTAGACTTAAGGTTCTCAATTAAATCATATGATATATGCGACATTATATTTGTAGTCACGATTCAACTGAGAAATTCACTTTAATTAACTCTGAACTCGAATATAAATGTAACAAGTTTACCATTATTAATATAGTTGCATCATGAAACTAGTTTAGAATTTGATAAAATTGTTACACTAAATATACAATTAAATTTTATCTAACTACTCGAACAATGAGAAAAAGACTGACTATTCGAGAACTGAGATATCTACAACTAAACTTGATACTTTTATGTATGTTCCTTGGAACTAGCTATTTTGTAATATTGTGTAACATTGTGGAAGTTTGTCATCGACTTCAATATCCCCTTAACATGGACCTTAGTAAACTTTAGTAGAAACTTTAGTAAACTTTAGTAAATCTTAGTAAACTTTAGTGAATCTTAGTGAAACTTTTAATTGATCAATGTCCAATACTGCTTGAACAAATAAAGAATTTTGTCTCCTCGAATAAACCTCTGTCTTATATAATTCGACCGGCGGGTGAAAATATCGGCGTTACACCTCTTCGTATTTCTTCCGCCGTGATATCGAGAAACTCTAATATCGGGAATGGAGTACTGTAATGAAACACGGCAAATATTTCGGAGCGTGTGCATTTCGGCAAATATTTCGTAATGCGTTACGCATTATTCGCATTACGAAATTAACGTGCGGCCTCCACGATATTTCTGTCGAAATCACGCGAAACAGAGGAAATCCGCGAATCGCGTCGAGCGCAAATTCCGACCAGCATAATTGCTATTGATTAGTATTATTACGGTGCAGAGAATCTGCTGGAGCGAGTTATTGATCTTCCTTCGTCTGGTATTAGGAAGATATTCGGCGAATAGGGGAATCATCTTCGACCGGGGGTGACATGTTTGCATAGGATGGGCTTCATCAGTTCACTCGTGCGTGAACGCGTGTATGAAACAGACAGAAATTTCACGGCGTTCGACCTAGTATACTTATTCTCTAACTTTTAATATGACCTGCATAGACAATTGTATGTGAATTTGACAGCAACTGTACTAGTTACGATTTATAAAGATTATGACCCTTAAACGCAGGGCGATCAAAATGATAGGTTTTTACGTAACGCAAGGGGAAAAAATGTTTAATTATTTCTTCAAGTTTTAATTCAACGTCAACTAAAAACATGAAGTATACCGTTACAAATTTGAGTAATTTTTATAAGAAATTATAAACTCGTCATTTTGACTGCTTTGATACTTCTAGTGTTAATAAATAAGTATTGTTGTTTTGCACCTTGTCTTTAAATACCTTTAACTTGATACGACAAATGAGTAGTTTAGTAAATCAAGGAGATAGTGCATAAATAGAAGAATAGCGCGGTTATCTCAGTGAAAATCGCGAGACGATGTCAAACGAGATTATCAGAATGAATAAAATGACAGATCGCGCTCTCTTCTCCTGTACCACTCGTATAATTCGAAGCTCCCGCCAATGGGAGAATCCCTTTTCGGATAGAGGGGTTGCTCTGTAGCGACGCCACACGACCTTGACACGGTGTTCCGTTTCAGGGTCTAGGACTCGCGACGTGGGTCGTTGCGTCTCGTGACACGTGGGTAGCTTGAGATTCCGCGTGTATCGAGGAGTGATAAAGCAGACAAGAAGAGAGGGGGAAACGGACGAAGAAAACCGAGTTGGAGGAACCGAGAGCGTGAGAGAAAGAAAGAGAAAGAGACTGACAGACAGAGAGATCGGAAAATGACCCCCACTCAACGCGACGAGGAGATAGAGGGGCGTTCGTATAAAGACTATGCCTACAGCCCTGTACCAGTGAGTTCCTCTTCAGCGGTGTTTAATGCCACCACCCTTGACAAAGAATCCGTGCAGCTGAACGTAGTACGCGACAGGGAGTCGTACAGGACATCGTCGCACTCCGTCGGGATACGCTACCCTGAAGACATGGAGGAGAAGGGTTCCACGCGGGTCCAGTTCCTGGCCGCTGCAGCAGGTAATACTCTTTTCAATTTTTCAGCGAGGAACCCAGTATTTTAATAATTTATTTTGACCTAGTATACTTATTCTCTAACTTTTAATATGATCTGCATAGACAATTGTATGTGAATTTGACAGTAACTGTACTAGTTACGATTTATAAAGATTATGACCCTTAAACGCAGGGCGATCAAAATGACAGATTTTTACGTAACGCAAGGGGAAAAAATGTTTATTTATTTATCTGTTTTATTTTATTTATTTATATGTTTATTTATCTATGGAAATAATTTTTCCATAGTGTCTGAAAGTGCAGCAACTGCGACGTTAAATTGTTATATATATACACAGAAACAGCGGTGTGTAAACTTCCTTAAAAATTTTTGAATTTTGAAAATCGTGGAGATTTTGCTATTAAGGCGCGAGCACATTCCACAAAATAATTTTCTGATACGCGTGCGAACATTTTACATCGTTAAATATCTTGATATCTTGTATTAATTTTATCATTTCGCTACACGTATGTGTGTAGAGATTTCTGTTTGTGAAGAATATATTCACGCGACGGAAGATTCCCAGGCATTAGGGTGAAAGGTAACCCTCTGGGTTATACACAGCCCGATCGATCGACTCGCCATATTTTGGGGTTGTTTCTCGTCTGGGTCTTTCGCTCGTGCTTGCTTACGGTCCTTCTGTATCCGAGAAAGTCCCGGATATATTTCATCAAAGGAAGAGAGTCAAATGTCGGAGCATCGAAATGTCACATTTATTCACGGATAGTTTTTGATCTTTAGAAATTCTTTTTTCCTTGTTTTTCGATGGGGCATTACTCACAAGTTCCTTTGAGAAGCAGGATTAGATTACGTGCTCATCGGTGCGCTTTGTACGACACAGCGTTTAAAGTGATGATTGGATGATGGGACAATAGATCGTGCGACTTGCTTTTTAACGGTGCATTTATTCCCTTAGTATGACTGACATTAATTGAAGACATTGAGGAGGCACAATATGCGCCCCGGCTCTTACCACGTGCACGATGCGTTATGACTGCATCTTGCACACGCGTCTCACGCGATTTCCTTACGAGATTCCCGTGAGAATTTATTAGAACCTCTTTCTTACATAGACAGATAAATTGGCAGTAATTTTACCAGTCGATTTGTAAAAACTGCATTCTTTGTGAGAGTTTTATTTGGTACCCATGTTTTGCACATAGAATGCCGAATTAGAAATACACAAGAAAAGAATTATCAAAATTTGCTTAAAACAATATGTTATATAAAATATAATATGGAAAACTGAGTACTTGATAAATTTATTGCTGCATACTAATATAACAAAAAACTTACTTTATCGTATAATGCAAAGTTATTAATTAATTAATTCAATACAGTCTATTTGCTTCGTAAGTGTCATTAAAAGAAGTTGTGGATTTTCCATCATTGATTGTCTCACATTGTTTTGATCATAAAAGTGTATTTCTCTATTAGTATCAATATAAAAGTATGTTTCTCTATCATTAATATATTTTTAAATACTTCATGATTCAACAGATTAATTAAATAGAATTAATTGTTTGTCAGAATTAATGTAATCGTGCTTATTTTTCATTATTTATCAGTCAAGATAAATAGTTCACGTGACGTCCGATGACGGAAGACGATTTTTTAATTTTCTATTTTTCGATTACTTGTATTGTAGATGCAATCGTCAAAGAGAGAACATGGTAGTATTGCACGCTCATTATGTGTAAGGACATGTCAACGACGATAGTGACAATATTGAGATAATCAAGCGTTCGTGCAACAATTGTACACTGCACAATACATCGTTGATATTTTATATCAAAACAATCTCTCTTCTTATTTTTCGATAAGCTTGCAATATCTCAATTATATCGATAATCGATAATGGGATATCTTAATTATTAGATTTTATTGTCTCTCGAACGATGGAATTTAATCATAAGTACAGTCAAAAATTCAGAAAATGGAGAAACGATCTATTCATGAATTCATGACAGAGAGAAAGCGAGAAAAAAAGAAAGAGAAAGCCGTCAGGTAGTGCGCAGAGCGAAAAAACGGAATAATTATTCGGTTCGATGATTCTCCGATCGACTGGGCTGAGATTAACGCGAACTCGACATACCAGTGTCGTAAACATTGTACTGGGAAAAACGCAGAATAATGACGGATAACGGAGGACGACGACGGATTGCGTACATCGCGATTCATATTCACTGCCGGTGCGGTCCTTCGCGCACGCGGACGGCGTGAATAATAAACGATTTGCATCCGGTACTCGGCTAAATTCAATCTTAATTGGCGAAGATCGCAATCGGCTCAAACTACTTCCTTGTTACCGGCACTACCGGCAACGGTCGAGAACGAGAGCCCGATACGACGATCTAAGCGATTCACTGTTTCTTCCCATCTCGAAAACAGTTCAGCCAGATTCGTAAATGAAATCAGTGCTACAGAGTCCTGCGATTATTCGTCGATTGGACGAACGGAAAAGGCTCGATTTTCAACAGAAATCGGCGTTTGATGTCGCTCTCTCGACCAAGGTCGGCGAAAAGAATTTAAAAGGAGTTTCTCTCTAGACAGACTTCCATGATTGTTACGAGAAAAATGAGTGAGAAAATTAGTGATAAACACTTCACACTTGTTTCAATTACATTCATGAAGCAGATATACAGAATTGAATTAATCATTAAATTTACATTATATAATAACGTACATTTTTCGTTACATTGATGCCGCATCACGTTTATTAAATAGTTGTACTCAGTTTTTCATATTATATTTTCCATGATATATTATTTTGAGCGAATATGGATCATTATTTTGGTCCTGATTAGCTCCATTATAACGGTTCGCGAGAAATCAAAACGCGCAAAGATAGAGAGAGAGAGAGAGAGAGAGAGAGAGAGAGAGAGAGAGAGAGAGAGAGAGAGAGAGAGAGAGAGAGAGAGAG